ACGGTAAGGATAACGATGTCGTAAAAAAGCATTCAGATGCATTTTCCATATGGTTTTTTGCAGTTTACAGGCAGGACATACAATGGGGATTCGAAACAGTTCCTTGTCGGAGACTGATCTTGATGACGACAGTCTCGTTTTAGCCTTTCCGACCGCTTCTGGCCTGCGTGGTATAGTCGACACAAGAACTCTATGTTACTAAATTAGTACAAAACTCCTAATCAACTTATTTTTTATTTATCAGGGAAAACAAATGTTAAGATTGGCGTTCCACATACACCTGGAAGGCTGAGTTATCCCATGGAGCTAACTCTTGGGAACTCGGTAATTTGTAAATTTCTAGGTGTTGTTGGGCGTATTGGTTATTTGCGGAATGTGTGTATTCCAGATGGCATCCATCCGTACCGCAATCTCAAAGAGAGCGAAGGTTCCAGTGAAAGCTCTGGGAATCGAAGGTACATTTACGGACCTTGGAATTATTGAAGATGCCGATTTTTGTGATAACTTTGTAGGTAAAATCTACAATGAGCATTCAGTTGAAAAAATCCTCGCAGAAACACTGCTGACGGAAAGTACGGCCATCGTCGCGTATCCTACCGCGGAGGGTTCTTCCCTAACTCGATCGTTCAATCAGCCAGCTACTACTTCCGGGAGCTTTTTTCCTGCTGCGCGCAGCCCTCACCAGATCCCATTGGTTAACCCGTCTCGTGGACCTCTCGTCAGTCCACCTCCTCAGGTCTGTCCGGCGCGGCCTCAGCATCAAGCAAGCGGGATCAAGCGGCTACTGACACCCAAACACCTCATTTGTCACCACCACGCCCTCGTGGCCATCGTTCGCCCTCGGCAGCCGTATTAACTGCCGGTTCAACTGCGAGCACGTTCGGCCGTCCTGTCATCGTCATGAAGCCACCACCGACAGCTCCATGCCGCCGCAGTCGTCGCCTAATGCCAGATCCCACGTCTGCTACAGGTTCAGGTGGCAGCCGACGCAGCCAACCTGCTGGTGCCATGCCGCCACCGATTGCGCCGTCTCGCAGCCGCAATCCCCGGTCTCCGTCGAGGGCTACGTTCACTACACGTTCCATCAATAGCGAACGCGGTCAACCAGCTGGTATGAATCAGCCGCCGCCGCCATCAATGCAGCGTAGTCGGTCACCGTCGGACTCGGTAGCCAGTCGAACGCGCAGAGCTCGGGGCACGTCGGATGCGAATGAGTATATAAAAGATCCGTCTGATTATATTGATACCATAATTTTGTGCACGCTTTGTTCGTTAGGTCAAATCGCGGTTCGGTCCATTCTCGGGCTTCCGTCGCAGGCCCGTCTTACGGATCACCGTCGCGGACCCGTCTTGTGGGATGTGCCCGCGCTCCTGACGGTGAGTATCCCGTGGACTCCATCAAATGATAAAGGTCAACGGAAAGCGACTCCCAGTAGCCAGATTTACGGACGGTCTTATGGACTGCGAAGACATCAGCACGGATCAAGTGTTTTTTGAGGAATCCACAGCCCGACTCGAAGATCTGGTGGATCTCCGTCGGGAAGGAACTAATTATGCTGCGGTGAGTATTATTTGGTATTAGAAGCGTCCGTTGTCCATTCCATGAAGCGATTTCCCTAGACCCCCTCGGGGACCCTCTCGGTAGCGGCCGTGGTCCGGCCCACGGTACGATATCCGTAAACCCCCTCGGGGACCCCTTCGGTAGCGTCTGTGGTCCGGTCCACGGAGCCGTTCCCGCTCGGAATGTTTATTTTTTAAATTTATGTTTTCTTTTGCAGATTGCTGAGTTGACCAAAGCTCAGAAAGAGCACACGGCGACCAAGGAAGCAATAAACACCACGGGGACCGGTATTTCACTTGCTTATTCTGTCCGTACGTTTCAGGCACGAGCGGCCACGCCGACAACATGGTTCGGCACCTGGCCGGAGAGAAGAAACCGGACAGTATGCGGTATCCGTGCGAGGCATTCCGGCTCCACCCTATCTGTCGCAAGTTTTACCTTGCCGGTAAAATTCCGATGGACAAAGTTCCTTTTTCGTATGCTTATAAGGACGAGTACAATAACCTTGTCAATCCCGGGACTCGAGAATGGCCGCCGCTTGCTCATCGGATCCATGTCTGGTTGCACAAGGACGACAAACAGGAGGGTGAGGAGTTGCGCCGTCAGTTAGCTCTTGAAGCCGCCGGGGAAGGCGAAGTGGACGGGACGGACGACGACGAGATGGGCCAGGGAAAAGGTCGGGGCGGAATGAAACGTGGTCAAAGTGAAAACACTGGCCGTGGTCGTCGGGGAAACAAGTGGGACGATGAGTGTGAATGGATACGGATGACGGCCTTATTTGTTTTTGTATAGCTTTGACAACTTACTGTTTCGTTTTTTTGGTTGCCTTATGCGCAGCGAAATAATTTCTTGTGTTGTGCTTATTTTGTTTTAGTAATGAACGGTGTTTTCTTCGTACAAATTGACAAGCTGGACTTGGTTGTTTTGGTTCAAGAAGTTAGTAGCAGAATATTCAAGTGAGAGAACAACAGGCCAACTCTTTTTTTGGAAAGTGTGCATTTGTAGTAATAAAACAACAGAAGTATCTGTTGTTTTACAAACTGTTATAATTTGTGAATCACTGAACGACAAATCTTCTTCAGATTCCATGAAACATTAATGCTTATACTCCGCTATAAAATTGCGGTGATTGCGCTCCCGCTCTTTTAAATTCGATATTGCGCCCGTCACTAATGTGACGTAACGAGACAATAGCAGAGCAGGTAAGTGGGTGGAGCTAGCGCTATCCATCTTCCACCATGCACTATCTTGAGAACCGGTTATCAAATCTTGCTCCTATCATTCATATTACATCTTGACTGCAGAATTTTTCATTTTGTTAGTTATGGAGGAATTTGAATTTCCACCGTTTTTCGATTTTGATCTCGACAGCGTTTTTACGGCAGAAGCTAGACCTGATCACAGTCCCGTAGATGCGGATCAGCAATATGCGTTCGACATGCAGCGGATGTTCGCGGAACTAGCTGAAAACGCGGAAAGCTCTCCAGGTACTAATGATTTGCCGGAATCTGTGGAAGTCTTGCAGACCGGGTTTGCCGCATCAGCCGCCGAGGTCGGTAGCGGGATGCAGTGGGATCAGTTGTTTGCCATATTGGGACCAACGTCAAATGAAGCACCTGTTGCTGACGGTACGTAAACACATTTTATCTTGGTGCTACGGTAGAGTTATAACTACTTCAGTTCATTGACTAGTAGAGGGAGTAAGTGTAGCGGGTACTATGCTGTTTGGGAAGACCACACTACTGCATATTGTGAGAGACAACCGGAACGAAGCGCACACTGTACGCCTGGAAACGCCTAGAGATAACGTGGAGATCAGCAGCGATCAATTCGTAGCATTTTTGGAGCACATGCTGTCCTACCAGAGCAAACTTGATTCGCGAAACCCATCACCGAATCCCGTTCAAGAGAAGCGCCCATCGTCAGACTTTCAGTGGGACGTCCTCTGAAAACCTTTGCGCGGGGGCTTCAGAAAACAACTCTCCGGAAAGAAAGAAGTTACATTCCGCATCGAGATCGCTGCCACCTGTTTTCGCACTATTCGCATGGAAGTCTTCAAGAACTTCCGGTTTGCGATTCCCGACAAGCTTCTTATACTACTGAATAGCTTTGTGTCGGTCATGAACCGCGGCTCGGCGGGTGAGTTATGTACGATTTTGCTTATTGATCACTTTTATCTAGTTGCTTTTGTAGAATTGCCGATATGGTTCTGGGACCAGTACATGGTCGAACTGAATCGCGAAATCCAGCTATTTCTGCCAGACTTCTTGAAGCAGGATCTACAACTCCGTGTGAATGAACAGCTTCTTAAACAACTGCCAGTGACTGTTACTATGGAATTTTGTTTAAGTATTCCAGTTTCTTGAGAGACTACAGTTTGCGACAATTATGGGATCTACAAACGACAGTATTGAAGCGATTCTTGCATAAAGTTGAGATGTGAATAAATCATGACACCGTGCCGTCATTTTATTTTTAAACAACTGACCCCCTCGGGGACCCCCTCGGGTATTTTCCAAGTACAAGAATTCATAAAATCTCAATAAATATCAGCTGATGGACTAAAACTAGTTGCTTCCGGAATGGTGTCGACTTTCACGTCCCGCCGTTATCCTGCAAAATGCACGGTGGGTAGATTCTCGTAAAACAATGAACGGGTTTCGGCTTACCGCGGTCATATTCCGAACTGTCTGGTTCCAGTAATCCGTCTGGAGCAGTTTTCCAAATGCATCCAAAATTACGAAAAAAGTAAGCATCGCAAACAACAAAAAGTAAAAAACTGCGACAACGATTTTCTCTAGTCGCTTTTCACGGCGATGCAGGTTCGGCATCATTGCTTGGTGGTTAGCCATCGCAAAAGATTTTTGTAAACACGATTCAACATGAGTGAGCTGTGGGGGTGGGCCTAAATGTATGGAAAAGAAAATTTTCACAGGAGTAACGTGTGAAAAAGAGGTAAAATGCGTAGCATAGAGATGGTATAAAATCTTTAACCGCGCATAGTGAATCTTCATTTGTGGTATTCAGGTTTCTTATGCAATGGAGTCTTACGGTACATGTGTCTATAGCACAGTCGAAAGCCGTCTGTTGACATATCCAGTTGAAAGGTTTAATTCTCACATCCGTATTCCCCGTCGGTTGGCCGAAGCCGGTTACATCTACGTGCCCGACCAGGGTTGTTTCTGCGTCAAGTGTTTCTGTTGCGGTCACCGTCTGGCGTCCGCCGACTAGGGCGACGATTTCTGGAAGGAGCACGGGGCATACAATCCGGACTGTCGGTACTAGCAAGCCCTGCGACCGGCGTACGCGGCGAAGCTTCGGGATCTAAACCAGTATTGGCAGGAGTACTAGCTAAATGTGCGTTTTGGTTTTGTTGATCCCAACGGCAGTGCTTTGATGAACTTTGTTTTACAGTACAAATGGTTCCTTTAATCCCCGGATGGCGCACTACCTTGCCCGTCTAAACAGCTTTAACCATGTCAAGAACTGGCTGTTTACCACACAGACCAAGGAGGACATGGCTGCTGCGGGATTTTCCAACACCTGGTCCAACCTTATCCACTGCTATCACTGCGGACTGGGATTGAGGGATTTACTACCGTACGAACAGGTTGACGTTCATCATGCCCGCTACCGCCCTTATTGCCTTGTAGTTGTCAGTCGTCTTGGTTTGGAAGCCATTGAAGAAATTCGCGACCTAGAGAAGAGAGCCAACGCTACCAGTTACCGTGTCAAAGATTTGTGGGACCGGGAAGGACCGAGCAACGGTTTCATATGTTTCTGCTGCGAAGAAGACGCTCTGCAACCTCCCAAAGATATGAAACCGACCGAAGAGCGCTTGGCATCGTACCCGAATACGTGGAAATACGAGATCGTCCATCCAGTGCGACTAGCTGCAGCTGGATTCCAATGGAATGGGGAGAACACAGCCGAGTGCGTATACTGCAGACTGGTAGTGGACAACTGGAAAAAGGGCGACGATCCGCAGGAAGTCCACCGTTCCCGGCAGCCTGAGTGTAAAAGTTTGTGTTGTTTATATTAAAGCACATTGGATCTCTTTTTATTTCATCATTGTCATCCCGTATAGCGTTTTAAAAGAACACCCGCGCTTTCAGGCGCCCTTTGGTATGTGTGTTTGTGGGCCGACAATGTCGTGTAAAACGCAGTTTGTGCTGTCTTTAATTAAAAACCGCGCGCAGATGATATGTCCGCCTCCCGATCGAGTTGTGTACTGTTATGGTGAATGACAAAAATCATTTGATGAAGTGTGGGATTCCGTTGATTTCGTCAAAGGCATTGGGGCGGTTTTAGAAACACCGAATTTTTTTGATTCCAGTCAGCACACGTTGTTGATTATTGACGATCTGGCTAGTGATATCTGTAAAGACATGCGCTGCTCAAACTTGTCCACGCGTGGCATTCATCATGAAAACGTTTCGGCTTTCTTACTGTTGCAAAACCTTTATAAGCAGGGAAAGTCGATGAAAGACGTCACGCTCAATTCACAATATCTTGTTTTATTCAAAAATGTGCGTGATATTAATCAAATTAAACTGCTCGCGCGCCAAACTGGGCTCAATCAGCTGACGGAAGCGTACCGCAAAGTTACATCCGAGCCGTATGAACCGCTCATTATTGATATGCGTTCGATGTGCCCGGAGTATTTAAGGGTGAGATCACACTCACACCGACACAGTCTATGCGGATATTTTTGAAAGCCAATTCCAATGATATACCGAAACCATGTCGGAACGCGTGAAAGCCCTTGCCCCATTTTTAATTACCTTGAAAGGCCTGAAGCCAAAACAGCGCCGCGTCTTGATGGGATTTGTCAACAAACCGCAGCTTAAAGCCTTGGAGGAGATTGCCGTCAACATCATTAAAAATACCGTCATCCTGTCGTTCGCCGATCTCGACAAGTGCAAACGTCACCGCAAAGCATTAAAGCTGTAAGCGCTGCGATGGTACCCAATGAAAGCTAAAAAAACGGATTTTGCAGCAAAGCGGTTTCTTGGATGCCATTCTACCTGTTATTGCCGGTGTACTGACCTCGTTAATTGGTAATGGATGAGTATTTCATTGTTTCTCGACGCGTTATGGAGGAGCGACTTCATGAAAAGTTTCAAGTCAACCGCGAGCCTCCGGAAGCCAAAGCCGTCGTCTCATTAGACAGTTTAGTTGCCGAAACCCTACAGCGAAAAGATATAAGCGAGTACGAGAAAGCCAGTCAACTATCTAGTTTACTGGAACGATTCCTTGCTCTGAAACAAAGTGTGATGCCCGATGAAAATCCGGTTGAACCACCCAAATACCAACCGCCAGTACCCCCATCACCCCCAAAGAAACCTCGACCCAGTCGACCCAAAGAGAAGCCTGATGAACCAATACCCATTCCGCGCTTGCGGTCACGTAAACAGCAAGGAGGCATGAAGCGCAAACGTTGTCGTAATGTTAACTGGATAACGTTGTCGTAATGTCTGGATTTTTGCCGTCAGTTATTCGGTTGTGCCGATTTTTCAATATCAACTGTGTTTCAAATTGTTGCAACGATGGATCGCTTGATGAAGAGATGCCTAGACCCCCATCATCCCGGAAGTTTTGGCGGCGTCGAGCGCTTTCGAAGAACACTAAAGACCAGAGCGAACAAACGGAAAGCCGATGAGATGTTGCAAGAGATCGATGAATACACTGTCACCAAAGAAAGCCGGAAACGATTTCCACGCAATCCAGTGATAGTTACCAATCTGCGTCAACAGTACCAAACTGATTTAGCCAATTTGTCCAAATACTTCAAGGAAAATGATGGCATCAAATATCTGTTATTTGTGATTGACTGCTTCTCCAAGATGCTGAGCGTCCAAGCCCTGAAGACAAAGACCGGTAAAAAAACACGTAACGCTCTCCAGAAAACCTTTAAAGAATTGGGTCGACGGGAAAAGCTACAATACGACAAGGGTACTGAAGTGTTAAACGCAACTGAAGTGTTAACTGTCCGGGCGTATCTCAAAGAACACGACGTACAATTCTTTACTTCGCAAAACGAGGATGTGAAATGTGTCATGGTCGAACGAGTGATTTGAACGATCAAATCACGGATTTTCCGGCTATTTTGCTACCGTGTTAGCACCCGGTACATTGACAAATTATCAGATTTCGTGCATTCGTACAATCACTCGGTGCACAGCGCTCATGGAATGCGACCCGTCGATGTCGAGCAGGAAAATTCGTTGCTGGTGTACAACAAGATGTACCCGGCTGTGAAAGTAAGAAAACCACGGTACAAAGTTGATGATGCGGTGCGTATTTCCATCCGGAAAAGAAAAGTGGAAAAGGGATACACGTACCGAATTAGGGAGGAGATATTTTTTATTAAGCAAATCATTCCGCACCCAGTTCCGGTCTACCTTTTGAAAGACTGTCAAGACAACACCATTGAAGGAAAGTTTTACATATCCGAGTTATCGCTGGTACGCAACGTTCCTGACAAAGATCATACTGTGGATTTTATTGTCAAGCGCCGGGGAAAGAAAGTCCTTGTGCGTTGGTTGGGATACGGACCGGAACACAATCAGTGGATACATGAAAAATGTTTGAAGGTGCACCATTCTACTTAACGCTGCCCAGTGATGTGGCTAGCGATCCTGGCAACACGCCTTCTAATTGGACTACCAAGCTGAAACATCCGATCACCTTGAAAGGGAAGTGGGAAATGGCACTGGTGGAGCTGCAGTATCTGAATTCTTTTTATAAACTATCCGTTGAGCAGAAAATCCAACTGGATGTTGTGCGAGAATTTTATTTGAAGAAAGACGGTGAATTTATCGACATCCCAAGATATGTCAGTGCCCAAAAAAGCATTGCTGAGCCACCGGGCAATTACAAGAACGCTGAGCTGCTTCTGCAAACCATCGACACGCTGGCCCCTGTCATAAAAACGTATTTACTGGACGGAAAAGTGATTGACGATAAACGTGCGCTGTTGAACAATAAAATGTTTGACGTGCAGTTCTTTACGCCAACCAACCATAAGGTGAAACTCAGCACTGGGAATGACCGGGTATCCGTCAGCTTTCCGCCTGAATCTTTGACCCTGCAAAAGATTCTGGGTTTTGATCAGAGCCAATTCGAGCCGAACGTTTCTGCTGAATCCATTGACACCGCCCAAGGTCAGGCAAGAGCTAAATACTCAGCATTCTGGGACAAAGCTCCGCCACCGAAAACAACTACGTTCATTTCCGACCGGCCTTTCAACACTTTGCTGGGTAACCAAAGCTTATTCGTTTACAGTGACGTGGCTGACTATAGTTTGATCGGAGACACAGCGGCGCAATTTCTACGTGCCGTACCTATTAGAGGCGAAGTAAATCAAACTGTGGAAGCACGATTCGACATTCCGCATTACGTCTCTCCGACAGCATTTTCAAACCATTAAACTGATTATTGCTAACGATCTCGGAGACGAAGCCAAGTTCCCGACGGGAAAATCGCTTGTCAAGCTGCACTTCCGCCCGCAGCGGTTATATTGAAATGCCTTTTGTACAGTACGTGCCTGATCCTCGGCGGTACAACGACGTGTTCGTCAGCCAAACAGGAGGAAGCGCCCTTATTCGGTACCGCGGCACACTGCAAAACGGTTCCGGCCTTCCACAGATTCTCAAGAGTTTGTTCGCCAAAATATCGTCTTTTGCCAAGCCTATAATCCGCCGGGCCGCACCGCATGCCAAAGCTGCGTTGGATGCCGCCACGCCCCATTTGCAAGAAGCTGCTACCGGGGCCATCAAAGAGGTTGCTGATAGAGCTAAAGAGAGCATCAGTAAACGCTTAGCACCTCAAGAAGGAAGCGGTATCCGTAAGAAACGCCGTGTTGTACGCAACCGACAACGCATTAAACGCATTCCTCCGACGAATATCCCGGATTACTTTTAACCATGGCTCTGCTCATGATGGAGAATTCCGAACCGGCAATGCAATTGGAGAATCAGCTCTTTGCCCCACCAGCTACGTTGACCGACCGTTGGCGCACCGAGCATGAAAAGCTGAACCCAACAACGATTCTCACAGATAACGGCTCAGCGGGCGATATCAATTTCTACATTCCGCTTAGTACATCTGGTCTACTTAGCTTGGCGGATATGATTCAAGAAATGGAGGTTGGCACCAAAGTAAAGAAAGGAGCTGGTGATTGGGCCCTGATGACCAACACCGACAATGTGACACCCGTCAACAATTTTCTGCACTCACTGTAAATTTCATCATGCCACATTACCGTGGCCAATCGACTGATCTCGGATGCCGCGACATTTTACCCATATCGGGCATACATGGACTCGACGCTTTGCTATTCGGTAAATGCTCAAAAAAGCCAGTTAACATCAGCCGCTTTCTACACCGACACCGCCTCCGAGATGAATGACGAAAAGGACAGCAAAGGCGAAGTCAATCGCAAGGTCTTGTTTGCTGGCAGCAACTACGTCCAACTCTCTGGAAAAATCTTTGCAGACCTGTTTGACCAAAGCAAACCGCTGTGCACCGGCGTGCCCATCAATATCCGCTTGGTAATGAGTCGGCCAGAATTTTGTTTGCGAGTGTGGGATACCGATGCCACCAAGCAGTTCAAACCATTCATTCGGAATGCGCGCTTGTCCATCCGCCGATACATTCCGGCACCAGACTTTATGACGGCTGTGGCCGCGGAGATGCTGAAAAAAACTGTCAAGTATCACATTGAACGCGCGGTGATGCGGGTGTCGGATATTCCCCAAAAAACTCAAAGTACCGTGGTGAGCAACCTGCAGATCGGGCAGATTCCCAAAGTAATGTTTATCGGATTCCTGGAAAGCGATGATTTTCACGGCAGCTTCAAAATTAATCCCTTCAACTTTCAACATTTCAACATTACGCAGATCAGTGTGGAGGTGGACGGTCAGAGCTATCCAACAAAACCATACACTGCCGACTTTGGGCGGTCGCAGTCGTTGGAGTGCTACCATGGTTTACTGGACACCTTGGGCCACCGAACGCATCCTCAAAACAGCGTCAATTTCAATCGGACCGCTTATAGCAATGGCTACACATTCTTCGGCTTTGACCTGACACCGGGACATACTGGAAGAGGACCGCTCACTTTGGTGAAACAGGGCAATTTAAGCGTGTCGGTCAGCTTTGAGAAACCTCTGGATAAAACAGTCATGATGGTCGCCATGTTGGTGTACGACAGTATTACAGAAATAAACCAGCATGGTCAGTTGATTGCGGACTTTTCAACATGAACACCGACCAGATTTTGAATGCACTGCAGTCGAATCCGACTACTAAGACAGTGCTACGTGGAGTTTACGCTAGCAACGAAGTGCCTAGTGAACTTTCGCTCTACCCTGGAGCGGCGGTTGTCAACATTGATCCAGCGGACCAAGACGGATCGCACTGGATTGCTTTCTATCAAGAAGAACATGGCCTTTTGGAAGTGTCGATTCGTTTGGGAGGAAACTGGATTCGTATTCCAAAGACTTTGATAATTTGATTTCATCAAATCGGATTATACAGCAGTCCGAACAATTTCAATCTGAATATTCTACCGTGTGTGGGCAGTATTGTTTGTTTTTTTATTCTCCGGCGTATTAGCGGCGAGTCTTAAACCAATATTGTGCATTTGTTTACCGATAACCGAGCAAGCAACGACAAAATGGTCTGTCAGTATGTTAATTCGTTTTTTGACATACATACCAAAGTGATTGACGATGCATTTATCCGTCAGATATGTAAACGCATTACAGAAATAAAATAAAGAAAAATGCTGACCGCATTTAACGAATTAAGACCCAAATGAAAACACAGAAAAAACTAAACACTACCGAAGAGCATTACGGACAGCGCTTAAATGAGCTTAGCAAACATGGCACGAAACTCCAGGCCATTAAGTTCCAAATACCCTTTAACGTCCAATCCAATAACTTGCCCAATGTCCACTTGATCAGCTTCCAGCAGAACAGCCTCCACATAGTGCGACTCCAAAATAACTTTTTCAGCTCCAGCCCATTCGTCACCGTCGGCACTTCCGCACACCGTCTTGCCGTTGCGTCCACGCATCTGGTAGATGAGCTCCGTGAGCTCTTCAGCCACTTCCTGTACAAAACAATGCACATGGACTACTGTATAAAAACGGGGAAAAAAACTCACTTCTTTCAACTTGTCGTATGCCAGAGCGGACTTTAAGGTCATTGGGACGTGGTTGGCTTTGTCCACAGCAAAGAGCTCTTTCAGCAGCGTCCCTTCAGTCCTTCGTAAGTCGTGAGTCCAAAGGTCACACCCCTTTGGTCGGAATGAGGTCCCCGTTGTTCCCAAGTGTATAACGACGGACGGTGGCCGTGTTGACACGGTTGTAGCGCCCCCATCCAAAGTTTAGCCCACTTTCCAAGGCATACAAGGGCGACAACTTGCCGCCGGTACCGCTGCTAAGCTGGGAAATCTTGTCCAGGTCGGCCTTTCCGCTCATAATCATGGCACCCAGACGCATGAATACGGGTTTCTTGACCGTGATGGACTTCTCCAGGGTGCGGCGGTAGGTGTTGTCGCTCTGCTTCTTCCATTCACCAATGACGATGGCGGAGACTCCGTCCTGGAAGCGGGCGTACGCATACTTCTCGAAACCAATCTTGTACACGTTGGAACCTTCATGGATGAACGCAAGGCGGGGATGCTTGGTGATCTCTGTCTCTTTGAACTTCTTGGCCAGGTTCAGCTTGGCGTCGTCCATCTCTGGAGCGCGGCGCTTTGCAAATGTTCGTGGCTTCAGCGGCGTAGCAGGAATCTCACGGGGGGCTCCACTGGTTGAAGGCTTCGGGGACATAGTGCGCTCGGACGAAATAAAATTGGGAATGAACTCCATGGCGTTGATGCAGAGAAAACTGTTAGAGAAAGTTGAAAAAAAATACTGAACAACTAACGTGGCAATCTACACTTGCTTGAGCTTTTTATGGGTTGTCCGTCATCCGCAAAGTTCGTAAGAAGGTTTTTTTACAGCACCTTGCTGTGAGTTTCAGGAAAACTTTGCACTCGTACGTGCAAAATAAGAATGTTTCACAGGTTATCCATAGCGTTCTGCTGTGCGTTTTAGGGAAAGTTTGTACCGGAACGTACGTGAAAAGACTTTTTTCACCCCGTTTTTCATAGCATTCAGCTACGCATTTTGTGCAAACTTGGATCCACGCCAAAGTACAAAAGAGTGCGGTTATTAAAGATCAGTGGGTTCAGTTCAAGAATGGCTCTTGGGTGTGTTCTTGATGCTGATTGGTTTGTAATTAACCAACAGAAGTTCATGAAGCAGCTATCGTTCTTTTGTCTTAAAGAAGGAGAAGTGGGACTATATACTTTTACGCTACTGCGCGGTGCCTCTCATTGCGCGAGAGATTTGGAAAAGCAAGCGCGCCATTCTTGGCACACCTACGGTGACTATCGCCACAACCGGACGGCGGTAGTGTTTGAAGATATTTTGGAAAGAACCGGACGTCCAACTGACGTTACCTTCTACGCCAAAGGGTTGGAAAAGTATCGCCTCCTGGGAATGTACTTGCCGGAAGTCATCAACTTGGAGGACTGTCATTGTCCAACGTTTCGACGACTGACTTCTGCGGCGCAAACCACCCAGCGAAAGGCTCTCATCTTTGGATTGTGGTTGCATAAGAATGGTACGGATCACCAATGTTGTGGCCAACGCAAAGCTGAACTGCAAACTGAATTCGAATGACATTGAAAAACGCTTGCCATTGGCTCAATACACCCCTCGATCCTTCTCTGGGCTTCTCCTGCGTCGTATACTACCGCCTAAAGCGCATTGTCAGCTGTATGTCAACGGTAAAGTTACCGTGAACGGCGGAAAGGATTTGGTCGATTCGCGTTCTCTTTTGGAATATTTTACACGGTTATTGTCTAAAATCGGATACGTATGTTGTGTCACTGACTTTAAGGTGGTCAACATTGTGGGCACGCATGACTTTGGTCAGCGGTTCGATCTCGATGCTGTCAGTAACAAGCTTAATGTTCCATATTTCGCTGATCCTTTTTTGGGTTTACGAATTAAGATGCCAGAATGTACGGCTATTTTATTCGCCAGTGGTCGATGTAACTTTTTAGGTGCTAAGACAGAAGTCGATTTGACATGGGCTTTGATTGATCTGGTGTTAATGTTACCAATAAAATGACCACGGCTTGATTGACCAGACCTTTAATTTACTGCGAGGTGTACGCGTAAGGCAGAGTATTCCAATTAGTATTAACAATTCTACGTTTGTCATAAGTAAAACTCAGCCGTTTAGCCAGATCAACGTGTTTTAAAGTCATAGATTTTTGAACGCGTTGGATGCTGTCAGGGTATTCCGCAACAAAAAAATCCGTTTTCTTCTCCAACACGTCCATAATTTTCTCAAAGGTGATGATCTCGCTGGTTTGCCCGTTTAGCGTGAAGCCTTTCACCTTTACAACGCTCTTTCCAGCGTTGGTCTTGTACGAATACGTCTTCGGTCCCAGGCTGACGAACTGACTAATGAACTGACCAGGCTGCAGCTCATCCGTAATGTCGCCAAGGAATTTGCCAGTCTTCGGCGTTGGTGATCCAGGTTTATCCACGAAAATTATGGAATCTGCAAACCCATACCATATTCACATGCTTGCAGAACTGGCCTTTCAAATCTTACCAGTGTCAAAGTACAACAGTCTGTCCTGCACTTGTTCCATATAACCATAAAGGTGCAACCGCGCCCAACAGGTGGTAAACCTGATAAAATATCAAAGTTCGAGCCGCAATTGCAAAAAAAAGGGCAAACACTTACGCGGCCAAGACGACGTTGGTATGCGGATTCTGCTCCACAAACAGGTTCTCCTTCGTATACGCCAATTGTAGAACGTCGTCACTGAACATGTCCCACGACTGAATGTGGTATTCTCCAGAAAGAAGCATCCTGTAGAATTCTTCTGGGGAGGAAATGTACTCGGTGTTCGGCTTATTATCTTGCATACCGAGGCGTCCCCAAAAGCTACAAGCAATAATATTGACTAATATTTAATGAAGTCATATGAAAAATAAAATACCTGTTAAGACACAGTTTGGCAAGCGACCGCATGCCCGGGTTACTTTCCACTTTCTCGCCGTCCAACTCAATTCCCTCGTGGTCAAAGAAATCCCGCAGGTACTGGTCCTTTTGTTGGTCTGTGACAACATCAGCTGGCCATCCACTTGCTTCGGTCTTGATTTTGAGAAAACGGTCAATGTAATCGGCGAATAATCTCTCTTCGGTCTGCTCAAAGTGCCACACTTCAAAAACTCTTGTCACGACGTAGCCGCGATCAATAGCTGCATGTATCTCCGGTGTACCTGCAAGAAACATTTACCGAGGGGGTTTCGAGGGGGTATTTAACTTACACCATGTCCCAGAGAGTGCCCTTTCGTTCTCAGAGTGTCCACACGGTGCGTTCTGTTGTGTCTCCGCACAAGTCCGACAAAGAGGAAAGACGAGTTTTCCATTACTACGGTATGGAAGAACTGGAAGATACAGGTCGGCCGGAGGAACAATTTCACAGTGAATGATCCCAAAATAATCCGTCACTACGTCGAAGTCTTTAACGATAATGGTCGGTTGGCCGATGGGATACCGCTTGTTCTTATTCACATAGGGATACTCGCTGCAGACGTCCAATTTCCGAATTTTTTCTTCTCCTGTTACACAGTAAAAAAGTTTTGTGGCGTTCGTCCGGCCGCCGTAGAACGCGTCGCGAGGGTTAATAGGTTGGCACACGGTAATTTCCTCCATGTAAGCTGCAAACCATGGCACTTCTTTGACAAGGCTGTCGAAGTCATGCTCCCACATCAAATGGAGCCCGTATCCCCGGCTGCGGATGTAGTCATCTCGCTGCACGGTTTCCTCGTAAATCTTGCTCATCGCAAGATTTCTGAATGGATGGATCGTGTCAGGAGCAGTGCATTCAGGACATCCATGAAACCAGCAACCGTGAAATTCAAAAACTGTATTCGTTGCGGCAGAGTAGCCATCCACAAAGTACTGACCAATCTTGAACTCTGCCCCCGATGCCCTCGTCTGGATTTGAAAGTTTTCTTCCGACTCCATCCATTGCAGCCACTTCAGCGCTTTGACGGATTGGTTGCGATTGGAATGGTATCCCTGTGGTGGGATCAATCCTATCTGGTTGGCTTTGAGGATAGTGCTGCGCCAGTACAGACCGCATAGTCCCGCAATTGTCAGCGTGGAGAAAAATGGACAGATTCCATTACTAATTTCCAAAAACAGGTTCCGAAACTGAAGACAGCATTTGCGGAGGACGGTAACATCATTACTGCAATAATTTACGAACTCTTTTCGGAAATCGAAGGTATTGTGCTTGGCGGCAATTTCATCTTTGTACCACTGTTCAAAGACCTCACGCTCTTTCTTGCTCATGTACTGATGTCCGTATTCCATCATGGAAGGGAACTCCGTGACCTGATCCCAGTTCTCGGGTCGATTAAAGCGGTGTGGGAACAAACCTTTAGACGTGTCTGCAATCCCAAATGTTGCTGGCCACTTGGAAAGGCTTTGTGGATTATAATTTATGCTGTCCCGGAAGCGAATATTCAGTTGAACCACGTCAAGCTGCATGATCTTGTCGTCCATCATCAGCAACATATGTTTCAAAGTCGAAGAATAATAACTGGGCATCGGCGTACTGCATCTTCTGAAACGGTCGCAGCTTATGTGGTTTCCTGTAGCAGCGATGGTCGCCTACAACGTGCTCTCGGCAGGTTCTACAAAAACTTTCTCCGCACCGATGAACGGCTCCTGGTTTTCTTCTCATTAAGGAATGGATAGATCCACAGAGTATACAAAGCTTCACCGTGCTGCATATGCTTCGTCGGTTGTGAAACAGCTTATCAGCGCTGGGGCCCAGTTTGTGGTGATCAAAACACGACTGCCCATAAAATTTCCGATTGCACTCACCGCATGCCAACATATTGGATGTATCCATCGAGCAGTTGGAACGGAGACACTGGTTGCATTGGCCCGTACAACGATGGTTTCGTCGGTCGTTATATCCCTTGTTGCACCCAAAACACCAGTAGCCGCGATTGAAAAAAGCCGGCATGGAGGTCAGCACGTCAAAATGGCGATTGTGGAGTAGAAGGCAAATATGCTTCTGTTCATGCTTTCCGCTGTACACAATGCTGTTGGCCTGCATGGTACTGACAACCACGACCTGATAACCGGGAAGCACCTTCTCAAAAGCCGGAATGTCCGTAAAGGAATGTTCACGCAAGGGCAGGCCGGCTTCTTCAATAAGGTCCTATGACAACGCGAGAATTTCCCTTTTACCCTTGGCAATATGTCTGGCATGCTCCTTCCCACCATCCGCGAACGCTCGGCCAATCACTAAGGCGCGGGCCATGCAAATGTCGTCGTCATTATTGACCAAGATAACTGACCTCATTTCCTGGAGCTTTTGGTACAGTATCGGTGGAACGTCCCGGACACAGCGACCCGATGGGATTTCCGTGTTCTAGCGAAACTTCGAAAGATCCGTCTATGACGAACTCTTGATGGGAATTCAGGACTTTGGATATTTCTGCCATCCAGCGCTGTACGGTCAACTGAGATCGCAGTGTTGGTGGTGTCCAAATAGGAAACGACAGATGAGCCGAGCCAACCGATGCACGCACGTACTGATGAGGTGCCACCCCCGTTAAAACTGTATCAAGGATATATTCCAACACAGCCACGATTACTGATGGAGCATCAATAAAGCTGACAGCTTCCAGATCATGAACACTAATTCGAAACAGCTTAAAGTGCATACTATGGGTTTTGGAGAACCGGTGACCCCTTGGCTCCACTGCGACGTGTTCCGCTACTTAGAAGTCATCCGGTAAACCGCCTCCCGCCTGAGGTTCTTCGGCGTCCCAGTCATCCATGCTGGCCAATTCGGCAGCATCAAGCATATCCTGATCAGTTAAGCCGTCATCAAAGACCCAATCATCAAGTGCCGCCAAGGCTGCGGCGTCGATGAGGTCATCATCTGTTAAATCGTAAACCATTTTGGAAAAGGTCAAAATTTGCAGATGCAAGATTTTGATGAATATTATTTAACCGAAAACGATTTTCAGAGGCCGCAAAAATATCAGAAGTGAAATTCAGACTACCGATATTTGACTTTAAGTAATTTTTTTGTGCGGTCGTATTTTATACCTTTGCAAAACCGAAATTTCACAGCAACGTCTGCTACGCATTTTACTTTTTCTTCACACGTACGAGCGCAACGTACTACCCATAACATAAATACAGAAAAAATAAGTAGCAACAATTAGAGAAAACACGTAAGACCGTGTACGGTTTCCGATGAGTAATCCGGGAGTGAGAACAGGAACAGAGCAATAAACAATCGTACAAGCAGTAACAAAGAAAAGAATACATAGCACCCGTCAAATGATTACCAAGGGGGTCCCCGAATGGGTGAAAACAGGAATAGCGCAATAAGACACCTAACTAGTTTAGCATAACAACGTCGTCGTCGCTCCCCAGGTTGTCGCCATCTTGTTCCGAGGCCGAGTCCGGGATCTCATCCGCGTCCGCTTCCGAGGCCAATTCATCCAAATCCGGTTCCGAAGCAGAGTCCGCGATGTGGTCCACATCATCGTCCGACAACAACCAAGTACGGTCTGCAAGTATCCGCAAGAAATTTTAGAAAGTCACATACAGAGTCAAAAATCAAACAAATACCTGAACCAGCCATCGACGCATCGTCATCCTCCTCCTCCTCGCCATGGTCCGACTCAGGCTCTATGTACATAAAATTCCCTGATTAAAATTTTAAACGATACAAAGATAGCGGCGCAAACAACAAGATGAGCAGCAAAAACTACTCACCGTTCATTTCTTCATCGCTCTCGCTATCGCCGTCGCCATCGTCTCCACTCCATCGCATAACCTGTGGGATTGCGCGGATCAGGTAACGGGAGTGGGTCCGGTTAACGCTGTTGCAGTACAAATCCACGGTATGGAGCGCGGGCAAGTTCTTCAGCGGCTCCAAGAAATCCACGCTGCTGATCCCGTTGTTGGCTAAAATCAATCGCTTCAGGTTTGGTGTCGCTGTTGCCAGGATCTCAAAGCGGGGGTTCTCCGCGTAGAAACCCAACTGGTTGTCGTTGACCTGTAGGTACGTCAGGTTAGGCAACGTAGACAAACCAAGCAAAGACGACAATCCACAGGCGTTAGCGGACAGGCACTGCAGGTCCGTGAAGCGAGCGAGCGGTACGTCACGGAAATCGGCAAGAGGGAACTCATCCAGGATGATGGTCTTAGCATCATCAGGCTGGTTCCACAGGTAGGCATACATGTTGATAGCATTGTACACAAGTGAACGAAACATAATGTAACAAACAGAATACAACTAATACAACGTAAAGTAAACGTGAAGCTGCGTATAAAAGCAGTTATAGTATGCACTTTAAAACCTGGGGATAATCTGCGGTGCATTGTAGATATCGTTTAATAGTGGATCCCACGCTACTGCAATACTAAGAACGAAAATTCACAGGAGCCGTTAGCGAAAATTCGCACCAGTCTGCTGTAAAAATGTGGAAAAGCTGGTAACTGCGTACGCGAAGGTGGTTGGATGTCAATGTAATGTTGTACGACCGTGCTGTGAATTTGGGCAATGCGGTAGTAAGTAACTGCATACTCATGGTGGTTGACTGCCAAACGTAAATGCCACCCGCACCCTCCTATGCCTGTATATGGGCGGTCGCCCATAGACTTTAGTCCGTTTGAATGGGCTACAGTCCTGCATATAAGCGGCGTTTCCTATGGGCCGTAGTCCGTAGTGCTGCTGACGACTAAGCTAACTTTTTCATTTTTGTTTGCCTTTCGATATCACCAAAAATGTTAATTCTGCGCGTTAATGACGTCATGTACTGCCTGGAGCTTCAGAGTAATGGAGTTCCCTGTTAATTTTGCATACAAACTACAATCCGACTAATAAAGGAAGCGACGGGTTTAGGGTATGCGTTTGGCGAAGACAGCGAAAACCGGTTTGTACCGCTAGTACGCACGCAGACAGCCACACTCATACGCGTGTAAGTGAATGCGAGCGGAGCATTCCGCTTGCGCTTTCTGGCACTCACTGAAATCCTCTGTCTTCGGTCTATTTATAGTCGTCAGTGACTCGTCACAGAGCACTGCAGTGATCTTAACCAGCCTCAGCGGGCAAAAAAAGGCTGTTCGCTCGCTTCTTAACATAGACCGTCGCTTCCTCAGTTAGTCAGATTGTACATGTGTATAGATTTGTCACAGTTCTTTGCAGCACCCATTTACGCAAAAATCCTGAAGCTTGACAATTTTAAAAGTTACTAAAAGGTTTTCAGCAGCAAATAATTATTATGCCACAGGTCCACCATTCACAATTTAGAAATGCCGGAAGCTAATCTCTTGCAGAAGTTTTACGACAGGAGCTGTGTCCACGTAGAAGGGGACTTAGGGAAGGTGTTTAATTTAATTTTAATTTGACGTTAACGAGTTTTGTCCTTGACCGATAAGCTTAAGACTAATACGATAAGAGGACAGTCGCCTCACATACCTTTATGTAGCAACGGAATCAAAGAAGACCAGTAAAACTTATTTGGCAATCTGCCATGGATATTGCCATCGTTCTATTTGAACGTCTCCGTCCAAGGCAAAAAAAATTGTGTGCCTCGCGTTGGTTTCCTCAATGAACCGATAATGTTTCTGGTGTCCGCTTCTTTGCCCGCAAAATCGAAAAAAGAATAGACACTTGTTAGAAATCGGCAAGAAGAAGCGTTGAATAAACAAGAGTCCAAGACCGTTCCCATATAAAATGGAGCAAAGTTTCACACACTAGCTAACGTCATGCCTATACCGAATTACCGACAAAGGCACTCAGACCCAAATGAAACACTTATTCATTGCCAGTTGATAGCTTCCAGTAAAAAGCTTCACCTACCAATGCCATCGCTGATTTTAAAATTTTAAGAATATATGCAATTGGAGCATTTGTATCCTTGAATAAAAATACTCCATCCACAAATATCATTAAAAATGACAACAACGCAATTTAATAACAGTTATTGTCTGAGAGTAATGAACTCATAAATGTCGGGGATCTGCTTATAATCTGCGGTGTCAGGCTCTTCCAAGATTAGGCGTGTGGGCGGCTTAAATTCGGCTTGAGTGATTGTGACAGCTGCCGGTATAATAACGTTTTAAAACAGCAACGGTCACGAAAAAAAAGCTGATTGTGTAAGGGTGATTCCCTACAACACTCCGCCATAAGTGGAGGATTCCCGATAGACGGAGAAACCGCAACATTATAGTCGATCACATTTAATCCAAGCGCCCGGTTGTCCAGCAGCCGGATGCCAGCATTGAACATCCACGCAGGATACGTTTTCAAAATAGACGCATATATCCAGATTCAGATCTATATGGCCACGAATGGAATACACCAGAGCCGGTAAACCAGAAATGACTGAAGTAAACCAATAATATATTCTGAAAGCCCGTAGTCGAAAACCCGGCCAGATAGTATTCATTTCTTTCTAAACCTCTCCCGCTTAGAACGCCAAAGCGCAAGAGTTTTGACTACCTTCACCAAATGCAACGAAATTATTATAATAATAATTATCATCGTGGTATTTTTAACCACGCAATGTTGCCACGTAAACCAACTAAAATATATTCAAAAAATGAAAGTCTGCTCTACTGATTAAATTATCAAATGAATTTAATTAGCAGACCATTATTACGGCAAGAACAACTAGGTATGTAACGTTGGCATTAAGTACGATTTCTGCACGAGTGCCGGCCGAGCAGCTATCGCTACGCTATCACTAGTCACGACCATGATTGTCTGTTCACTCAGGGATCGAACTACCGCCACTGTTCGGTGCACACACCAGTTAGTTCAGCGGGTGACCGAAATACCACAATAGTGTAGTTGACACTTGACACAACCCGCTAGGCCAGTAAGTGACCAAACTACCACCATAGTTCGGTAGGTGTGCGGGTGGCCGAGCGATCACTACTGTCCCGTGCGCAAAGAACTCGTTAGGCGAGCGATTAACTGAGCTGTCACTATTGTCAAGTGCACAGAGCGCGTTAGAGCACCTGTACCGAGCCACCACTACTGTCCGGTGCAAAGAGATCGCTAGGTGAACGGGTGACCGAGCGGTCACTACTGTCCAGTGTGCAAAGCCCGTTAGGGAACGAGTAAACGAGCTGTGACTACTGTCCGGTGCAAAGGGCGGTTAACAAGGCCCGGTTAACAAGGTTAACAAGACCGAACCGCGGTTAACAAGACTCTTTGGTCAACGAGCGACCGAAATGACCCTCTAGATTAGGGAGTAACCAAATTGTCTTAACCCCCACGTAACAAGACTAGGTCAGAGTGACTGAACTACTGTATGTCCAGTGCAAAAGTCTTCCGGGGTGATGGTCATCTTCCCATCCACTAAGCTCAGATTTGACTGCACTTTCTTGGGCTTCTCCACTCTGTTGCGTCGCAGCAGCAAGTCAAAACCCACGTACTCAGTGAGGTCCAGCAGTTTCTTCCGCAGCTTTTTATCCGGTATGGCCGGGAGCTGGTGATTTGTCTGGTCCGAGACCAGTGGCTGCATCGAAAGTTGTCCCGAATGATCAAACGCATCAGGGGGTTGCCATGGTGCTGCTGTACTTCACTGTCCTCTGGCAAGCTCTCGTCGTCGCTACCCTGTTCGGAGGATGAGGAAACACTTTCCTTACCTCTCTTGCGATGCTTCATCTTTTTCCCATTGTCTGCCTTGCTCGTGGAGGCACCGTGAGCCCACCTGGTGCACGATTCTCCAGAAGTCGTCACCAAGCTGGATCCGCAAATTAGATGATGGCGAAAGCGGCCGGGCAGCTTGCGGTGGCTGGTTTCTCACAACGGCCATCAACGAGTCCATCTGCTGCTGGTGCTTCTGCTGCTGCTGAAAAATGGACTGAAGAGTGGGCTCTAATAACTGAACTTCGGCTGGCTCAAGGCGAACGATGACGCTCTTCAAGCGCTTCGCGGGCGCTGTTCCACGAAGTTTTCCAGTGGCACGACGGGGTTTCTTGGCCGTCTTCTGCTTCTCGTGGATGGAGGCATCGTTAATGGATTTCACGAACGAAATCAAAAATCTGGATTTCACAAACGAAATCTGAATTTCACAAAGGCGGATTTCATAAACGAAAACAGCAGAGGATTAAATCGGCAAACTGAAAGCGTATCAGATTGTCAGCACGACCGAACATAAGGCGAACAGCAAAAATCGGGCCGTGTGCACGGCCGGCGGCAACATAAAACGTTCTCATGAGCAACAAAGGAAGTGGGCCGAGCCGACGTTTAACAAAGCAGTACAGGGAATTTGCCACGAATTTAACTGCACTTAGCCTGCTAACTGTTCTTTAACTTTTTCGAGCAAATACCATCCTACGAGTACGAAAATTTTGGTTTCGCTGGCAGCACGGAGTCATGAATGATCGACTGTCCTTCTTGGGGTACGAGCAGCAAGCAGTCCTCTTTTGAACCTTCCGGTGGTAAAATTTGTGGTTTACATTCTGGATTCCTATGGCACCAACTTCAAAGCTCACGTCTTCATGGACGAATTCATCTTGGTAAAACAAGAAAAATTCTTTTAGGAAATGACCAGGGTCGAGGAGTGCCAGTAGTCAAAGGGGGTGATGACTTAACTTTTAGAAAAGTGGTGACAATAGCCGAACGGGAAGAAAGGAGGTGACAATATTCAAAAAGGGGTCTAGCAAGCTGACAGTAGTCGCACCCTTCTTATTTTGCTAAAGTTTCTTATCCGTATAAATTTGAATAGGATCACCCTGCCACCGGCTCAGATTTCCGACAAGCTTTAATTTTTTCGTAAACAGACTAAAAGGATCAAAGATAGAGTAAATTTTAAAAAAAAGTTCAAAACTTTTTCGCCTTCCCTCGAAGCTTTTTCGATGGTTAGTTGGTAAAACTGAATTATATATGTTGGCATTGCAGTCTGTCAACTGTTGAAATCGTTACGCGATCGATTTGCGTTCCCTTGTATGCTACACACGCGTACATGTATTATTATATACTAGCGGTGGTTTTTAACCACATTACTGCACGAGCGCGAGCGCCAGTACCACTGAGTAGTGGTACTGGGTTTGTGGAATTGGAAAAGTGAGCCGTGACGCTCTTCGTGGCGTCAGAAAAAAATTATGCTCTTGACGATTAATTAATTGCAGCACCTCGCGCTTCGCGCTCGGTGCAAACAAGTGCGCCCAGCCAGCCAATGGCAATTGCGAAAAGGTTTTAGTTGTACGTATGTATGCGTAAAATTGACTACTGAAAAATTTATGTTACAGAGAAATTTGGCTTTGCGCTCGCAATTGCGCCGCAGCGCCGCTAACGTACCCCAAGTCTGTGTGTACTGTGTACCGTAATACGGAAAGATGCGGTTAATGTGGCCAGGCTGCAAAAAAACAATCGAAAACAACACCCGCAAGGCTTAACAATGGTCACTTTCAGAGAAAGCTGTATCTACAATCCATGCTAGCAAGTAAACATGTGTTCGGGAGGTACAGCTGCTGTTTGAAGAAAAAGCCGTAAAAAAGCGCATCCTTCGTCGGTTTTTCTAAATGAAACGAGCTTCCCTTTACATTGAAGATGGCTAGCAAGGCAGCAGCGCTGTGGATTGTGCTCTTCCTCCTTATTCATTGCGCCCGTTTCACCGGTATGGATTATACACTCTTATTAAATGAGCCGCTTTTCAAACCGTAAATTTCATGTTGTTTTAAAAATTATGTTTTCTCTCGGCTAGTACAAGATGGAATATCGGCCAACTGCATTTGTCCGGTTGCGTCGTGTGCGCCATGCCCCCTTAACAGCTTCGCCGCGGCTGGTAAACCGTTCTTATTAATGGCAACTGCTGGAAGCGACAAATGTCCGCCATGCCCACCTCCACAGTGTCCTCCGTGCGATCCGCACGGAGGCACATACTAGTATCCACACAGGGATCCTATGCGCTCCCAGCTGCACACCGGGTAAAGAAAATATGCTCCTCTTAAATTTGTCTTAATTCAAAAGCTAACACCAATGGAGCTAGAGAAATTTAGTACATGCATGCTTCAACGACCCGACTGGATGGAGTACATGTATCACTTTGCTACCCGACAGCGTGTCTTTAAGCGCACAGCCCGCAATGCAGTTCGACAAAGTGTTGAACTGCTTTTTATACCTACAAGCCCCTTGTTTCTTATGCTAAATGTTCACTGAATTCGTATCCTTTTTTCTGCCGGATTTCGACAAAAAGGTAGATGCGATTTCATTGAACATCCACCAGTCCACCTTCCTGCCGGTTAAACGTGTTATTATACTGTAGGCAATATATTGCATGCAGATTTTACGGTGCTTCCACGGTTTTTGGTTCTTGCAAAGGGCTGGCGCCGCCTTTATAATTATATATATAAGATAATAACGTTTCTGTTTGCCATTTATGGAATTTATATTGTGGTGTGTTTGCAGCCAATCCGGCCAGTGCTGTATTTGTGGCCCTCTTTCCGTGGGATGGTAGAGAACAAGAATTTCCAATTGAGAGCAAGGACGAAGAAGCGCACTTCAAGAAACTTTGGGGAAAGGACCCAGCGATAATTAAAACCTTTCTAATTAGATTTTTAATAGTAACCTTAACACTGTACACTTATGTTATATTGTGTACATTTATGCTGTTGTTATCGATAGATACCATCATTTATAACCGACTCCATGGCTAGTACAATCAAAATAAAAAGGCTATATCCACAAATATCATTGGCATTTTTACCGAATGCAAAATTAATATATTACGATATTTCTCTGGAAATTATGAGCTAAAGTCCATAACTTCAATGAAATACTGCTATTTGTCGAAGGTTATATCTGTTCTTTGTTTTGATTCGTAGGGTTTTTTTCCTTAATTTTTTTCGTAGACTAATGGAAGCGGTTAAACACAATAAACGAAAATTCTCTCATCGGTATTAATTTACAGGTTTGCTTGTAATGCTAGGGATTACGCGGGTCGTATTACAAGTTACACGAACTGCGCCAAAAAAAGTCGTAATGGCAAGGATGGCCGTAATGACAACCTCGTCATGTCAGCCGGAAATGTTTTTGAAATCAGTTGTAAGTTGTTCGATATAAGACGGGTTCTCTTCACTAGCGGATCAGCTAGGTGCGGAGTTGACAGAAGCCGTTTATACCAGAAGAAAAATGCAAAAAACAAAACGTTGACGTGTTATTTGCAAAAATGAACTGCATCATAATAGGATAGCGACAGTTTGGTTGGCATAAAACTGACAGCTGTCGGCATTTTGTGCATAAATCGGCATACAACCGTTGAGGAGCTAGTGATGCGCTATGTGTTTAAGTAGAATATGCTAATTTTAGTTATTCCAAGCACAAGTTTTAGAGGCAAGAACCGGCAAATTTTCTCCACAGTAGTTCAAAACGGGCTTTAAATTAACCTTGAATTCGCGATGTGGTTCCGGAGTTCAGTGATGTGCGAGGCGACTTCCGCGTGCGGTTGTTGGAGTTTGAAGTGTGCCGGCATGGCCGGAGGTGCGCAATTGCAGCTGAGGATCTTACCTGTGGGTACAGGTCGCTCACTGCCGGCACCCTCCGCCGGTGCCCGGTTTCTTCGCCCCCCTTTATTGAACTTGATACAGCAGACATACAAGACCGTAACGGTGAAAAGAATAACAAATCGTGCCAGAAGGGCGGGCGGGTGGTAATCGAAAACCGAAAGGAGTAAGGAATGATTTTAGCGTAAATGAGCGACAGGAATGAGCACACACTATGAGCAAAGCAATGCATAGCACACGGCCCGGTGCCGGTGCCGGTGAGTACAGGGAATTGCGAATTCAGCGGTAATTTAATTTCTGCTAATCCTTAACTGACATTTAAATTAACCTTGAATTCGCGATGTGGTTCCGGAGTTCAGTGATGTGCGAGGCGACTTCCGCGTGCGGTTGTTGGAGTTTGAAGTGTGCCGGCATGGCCGGAGGTGCGCAATTGCAGCTGAGGATCTTACCTGTGGGTACAGGTCGCTCACTGCCGGCACCCTCCGCCGGTGCCCGGTTTCTTCGCCCCCAAACAAGTTGCTCGTCTGTAGAGGTCAGGTCCGGTGAGTGTGCGGGGCCGGATGTACCGCTCCACGCAGTTGCTCTTCCACCTCCCGGCGCGCTGGATTTCCTCTTTTGGGAGTTGTTGTTCCGCGGCTTCCGTAGCGGCTCCGATGCGGAAGCTGTGCGTGCTAAGCCGCGCGCAATCCGGGTGATCTTTCAGCAGTAATTTTAAAAACCGGTTTACAGCTCCGCGGGTGAGGTAATCACCATTTCGGTATCGAAAGAACGGATACGTGGGATGTCCCTGTTCGGCACGGTAGCGGTAGTAAGTCTTAATGGCGCGCACTGGGCAGACCGAACGATTCGTGGCCGTCAGCGTTATCTTCGAGCCTTCAGCGCTCTGATCGGTTTTTGTCCGTTTCAACGTTATAATCGCTGCGTCGTCGGATATGCTCACGTCACGTAGGAGCAGGGTGGATGCGCGGTCGTAAGTGTGTTGCGACTTCGAGATGATCTCGCTTATGCGCAGGAATCCGAAGAACGCCGTGCAGAAGGCGCTCCAGAGCATGGCAGATTCGTCCTCGTCGTTGTGTGCTTTCAGTCGAGTCTTCAGTGTGCGCATGAGGTCCAGTGTAATGGGTAGACGCCGGTCAGGCTTCGGGCTGTTCAGCCGTTTGAAACCGCTCACCGCGCGCACGACCAAGTCGTCGGCGGTGGGGTTAGGCAGCCCGGCCTCTCTGTGGCTGTTGTGGATGGCCGCAAGGTGAACTTTCATGGTTCGGAAGGCAGCCTTTTCATCGAACAGCTGAGCGACAAAGGACGCAACAGTTGATGGTTTTGCTGGCAACATCGTGTAACCGCTTTCATTGCAGAACCGTTCGAAACGATTCAGCGATGCCCCGTACGTCTTCCTGGAGGATCCAGAGATGTGGGCATTTAGGAGCTTATGCAGCGTGGAGTTGGGCGGAACGTGCTGCGCAGGTCCGGAAATATATCCGGAAACGTGGTCGGCTTTGGAGCTGCTGCAGTAGCGAGCGCTCGGAACCGCTCCATCTGAAAGCGAGAGAGCGCGTCAGCGATGCCATTATCAACGCCTCGAATGTGCTTCAGTGTCAACGTTAAGTTATTCGTAGCCGCTGCCCAGGTCATGCGACGCATTAGGTCGAGAACGCCCGGGCTGCTGGAGCGCAAGTGAGCCCATGCCTCCACAGCGCCGGCGTTGTCCGTGTGGAAGATTATCTTCCTCCGCCGCCATCTTTGCCCCCAAACAAGGACGGCAAGTAGAATGGGTACCATTTCTAGGTACTCAATTGACGGTGCTGCCTGCAACAGCCACTCCGGCCACCTAGATTGGAACCACTCGTTTTCGCAGAATGCTCCGAGTCCTAGCGTGGCGGACGCGTCTGTGTACAGGTGCATTACATCTGAGGTGGTCCAGTCCGGCTGGAGAAATGACGCAGTTCCGTTCCACTGCGGAAGAAATCTCCGCCACCAGTCAAGATCCAGGTGGAATTGCATGTCGAGGGTTATTAAACTCCGTGGGGGATGGTCTGACAGTAGCTGTATCATCCTTCTGGTGAACAGGTGACTCGATGGAATGCATTTCGAGGCGAACGTTAGTGTTCCGATCAGGCTCTGCAGTTCTGTCAGCGTACAGCTTGACCTCTCGTGCCAGCGCTGAAGGGTTGCCGATATTTCTTGGAGTTTCCCGGCCGGTAGGCTAAGTGTTTGCGCGTCAGAGTCGATTTCGATGCCAAGAAAAGTCAGGCGAGTTGCGGGTCCCTCCGTTTTGTCGAGCGCCAGGGGTACCCCAAGCTCTCTGCACACTTCCTGCATTGCTGCCATCAAAGCCGCACATTCGTCAGTCCCCGGGGAGCCGACAAACAGGTAGTCATCCACGTAGTGCAGCATGGAAGGCAGTCTCGACTTCTTTACTACGCACCAGTGGACGGCGGCAGAGAAAAACTCAAAGATGTAGGGAGAGGAGCGGCAACCGAACGGTAATACTATATCGAAATAGTACTTACCGTTGAAACAGTAGCCCAGGAGGTTCCAGTCGGCCCGCCGCACAGGTATCAGCCGAAACGCAGACTTTATGTCCATTTTACCCATAATGGCGCATCTCCCCGCCGTGGACGCGAGTCGAACGGCGTCGTCCACGGAGCAGTACTGCAGTGGCATTTCACGGCCGTCGATGTGGTCGTTGACGCTGCTCCCCGGCGGTTGGGAGAGGTCCATGATGGTGCGGTGTCCGCCGTCTTTCTTCGGCCGACTCCCAAGAGCGTTGACCACAAAGTACGGGAGGGGTGGCAATGGGAATGGGCCAACTAAGTGACCCAGTTCGACTTCTTTCTGGATGCTTCGGAGCAGCGCGTTATGGTGAATGCGGGCAGACTGCGAGTTAGGCGTCGTGCGAGAAAGCTGTGGGCCGCGGTAGCGGATGTCGGCACCAAGGCGGAGTGTGTCCGAAATGAAACGGCGGAGATGAGCGTCGGGGTGATCAGCGAGCAGTCTTTCAAAAGCCTCAGCACGCAAGGGCGTCTGAGCTTTTTCGGGCACTGTCGCCTGATCATCGAGCTCCGTATTTGCACTGTGGGGACTTGTGATCCTTGTCGTGGCACCGCTCACAGACGTGGAGGCGTCCAGCGCTACAGGGTTCCGCGCAGCTAAATCGGTTGAAATTGCGGCAGACTTCGCCCCCCACAGCTGGGGCAGGGCGAAAGGGCTGCTGATACCCCACCTGGCCTTTGCGCGGGTACGGGCACTGGGCGATAAAGTGTCCCGCTTGTCCGCAGTTTCGGCACTTGTCCGTTGGGGCGGCCGATTTCTTCGCTCCCTGCGCGGCTCCGCTGTCGCTAGTGCCCTCTTCCGGGGCGGCGTTCTGGATATAATCAGTATAGGTGTCGTCGTGCTGCCGAGCCCACATATCGTACTCATATGGATGTCCTGTCATCAGGGACCGGAACTGGCGGTCGTACTCCAGCCAGTGGGCTGTAGGAACCCCACGCCGGACGTACGCTGCTATCAGCGACAAGTATCGGCACATGGCAGCGGCGACTTGCGGAATAACGCTGATCCGGTATGCCATAAACACCGCGAACGCGTCACACCAGGATTCGAAGGAGTCGACGACCGCGCGTGTCTCGTTTGGCTTCAGAAGAACGCTGCCTTTTGACATTAGCAGCTTTGAACCTCCATGCTTAGGCTTCTCGACGCGATTCTTCGATAGCAGGTCGTCGAAATCGACATAACGTGATGGGTCGAGGAGCCGTCGCCGGGTTCTACTTGGAACTGAGACCAGGTGTTTTGCTCCGCCTTTTGACTGCCCTCCCGACGTGGAAGCTCCGAAGTAGTCTTCCAGACTATGAGGCCGATTCGGGTGAGGACCCAGGCGTTCGGTGATCGGGCGGCGAACCGGGGAGCGGCTACGAGAAGAGGACGACTCACTGTGACTGCGACTCTTACCTCTCCGTTTGTGATGCTGGTCACGTGAGCGGCTGCGATCTCTGGAGCGCACCGTTCGTTTTCCGTCGAGTGAGGACTCAATCTGGAGGCCGGGGTTGACTGTAGCCGGAGATTTCGGCCGGGAACCCGCTGGTTCCCTGGATGCCAGCGGTGTCACGATGTCAATTAGGCGCTGGATTTGCTGCCCTTGCTGATTCTGGCGCTCCATCATCGACTTCAAGTCGAACTGCGGCTGTTCTACGACGACTACTTCCGACCGAATTGTGGGGGCGGGCGACTCCGATCGGCGGCGTTTCCGACTAGGCCGCGACTTAGTTTGCTGCGTGGTGGCGGGCTCCTTGCCAGAGCGGGCGCCTCGTGGGTTCGGATTACGAGCGCGCGCTGCAGGCTTTTTCGGCGGCATGATGGTGGGAGAAAATTTCCGGAGGTTGGGGGGTAATTTGATCGTGGAAGATCGAAAGTACAAAGTAATCGAAAACCGAAAGGAGTAAGGAATGATTTTAGCGTAAATGAGCGACAGGAATGAGCACACACTATGAGCAAAGCAATGCATAGCACACGGCCCGGTGCCGGTGCCGGTGAGTACAGGGAATTGCGAATTCAGCGGTAATTTAATTTCTGCTAATCCTTAACTGACATTTATCCACGCGGACGGCGAAACGTTCAAGACACCTACCAACATAAAGCTTACATATTTAAAGGATAATAATTATTATTGTATTTTGTTGGTGTGCTATTAAGTTGTCAGCTGAAATGTTGACGAATGAATTATTTCCATCGTTTACCAAGCGGGCCTACAAGCTAACAAATTTCGCGTATGTTTTCGCGTATGTGCGTCATACGGATACACACCGTGAATGTGTGCTGTGTATGATGTGTCTCAGTGTCTGTACCTAATATAACAGAAATTCATTTCGGTTGGCTTATCGAAAGTCAGACATATCAGTTTCTTACACACCAATTTTTTACGGGTCAGCATGGATAACGTTCACTACAGATTTACTCTACAGTCTGTACTCACTGATCCACGCTATTCGCCCATCGATGAATTATGTAAATGTTCGGCACTTTGCTTGCTTTTCATGCTTTTGTTTTCTTATGCGTTTCGAAAATTCTTCTGCTGGTCAACAAAATGCCTACAGCAAATCATCGTTGTTCAACAGATGGTCGTTCAGGACTTCAAAGTTGGCGATCATCGATTGCTCGTTTCAAAAATAGCCGGTTTTACAGTTATTACAAGTCAGTTAAGATTTTTGAACAAGTTGCTGTCCTCGGTGTTCCACAAGGGTACAGATTCGTGCTAACTTGACGTATTTAGCAGACAATCTATATAAAATATTGCATAGAAAATGTCCGTGGAGCGCTTCACTTGAAAATCCGGCAAATTGTGACAGGAAAAGACTCCATCCACAAATATGATGAACCTTTTTACCAAGTGCAGTTAAATAACAAAATCTGTCTGGAGTTCATAAAAATCCAGACAGATACCGTTATCTATCTGCACTCGTCCATCACTCCGAACAAGTACTGCTTGTCCAAGGTCAGACATAATGATACATTGTTCAGATTTAGATGGCATCTGCTCCTTGCGATTAGGAATCTTGACGGAGGCCTACATTCTTTCTTCGATGGTTTTGAAAAGCGGTGCATCCCTTTTTACCAGCTGAATGCTTTGCTAAATTGATCGAGCTCATTTTCAGGAAAGAGCAGCATCATGAAATGCCGATCAGCAGGAATTGTTAATGTACCATAGCGTTACAGCAACAATTCTACAGTACACTAACAATTTCTGCTAACTTGTTTTTTCGCAGTGCATCGCAGGGGCGTAAGTGCGATCCTGATACGCAGGTGGTACGCTCAAAAAGAAGCCAAACCCGTTCAACGTTCACCGGACTTGCTTAGTGAAACGGATTTCGCCATATTATCCGTCATAGCACTCCTCCCGTTATGCAGCCTTTCCTATATAACAGAAATTCAAAAACAGAATTACCATAGCGTTACAGTTAAGGATGGTAATATCCAAGAGAAAGCCTCTGGATATGGGATATATCCAAAACGTATCCGGATATATCCAGAAATATCTTGGATATATCGTTTTCTATCCAGATATATCCAATAACATGTTTTTTTAATGAAAAAGCCTTAAAATAGCTTAAAATAAAAGCATCATACAACACACTAACAATCAACGCCAGATTTAGATATTAAAAGGAAACAAGAAATACACACATACTTCGACTATTCTCGACATCAGGGTTAGCCGGTTAGGTTAACTTTACATTTTGAACAACGGATCACCCACGTATTACATAATCCAATAGAAAAAAAATATAAGAATAATTATTTGACGTCCCCGCCATTTCCGCCTTACCTCCAACACATGCTAACCGTAGTTCCAATGCTAGCCTTAGTGTGACGGCTCCGAGTTATTAATACAAAAATTTTGTTTCAGTGTGAAATCAAACATGTTGATTTGCACATTTATGTTTATTTTGCGGAGACACCAGTAGAACGTCAGATGATATTGATGTATACGCAAACTTGTTGATTTAAAATTTTGTACTATCAAAATACTTGAATAATTGGGTGATCCGTTTTTCAAAATATTCAGTCAAGCTGATCCGTTGTTGAGAAAAGTCGCAGCATGTATAGTAATAGCACCTTTTAAATGCCTTTGCTGGAAAAAATATGTTTATATAAAAAGGATCTGTCTTATATCCGTCAGTATCCTGCTGTATCTTTGTATCCACCGTATCCACCAAATATCCAAAAATATCCGTATCTTTCGAGACAGCTCGGGATATGGATACGATATTTGGATATTTAAGCTCTGGATACACTTTTGGATATTGGATATTACCATCCTTAGTTACAGTCGTATTCTTATGCCGACGTGGGCGCCAGCTTTGACCCACAGCGCAGAATAAATTATGCAAAGCAGCTAAAACGTGACTATTTAGAAAACAGTAATATATTTGGCCTGATTAATGCTGTTAACAACGTGTATTATCAGCCGTGGCTATAAAAAAAGTTTTTAAATGATTCCGGAAAAGAATGGGCCTTCGTCTGAAACAAACATATAAATATGACACTGGTACCAAAGCGGTTTCTAAAAAAAACGATTTATGGGTCTTGTTTTACTTGTGGGATTAGCGATTAAGAAGGATGCCTTACAATTCACGCAAACCGTGCCAAAAGAACGTGTAATGGCAAGTATGTTAGCGTGAACACGGCATGGCATGCCAAAGTTTGTGAAGTTTTCCCGCACTGTTGTGTACATCAACGCAGTGAATATAAAATTGCTTCTCTTCACCAGCTGATCAGGTAAATGCTGAGTTGATAAACACCATTTATTCTACATAACAAATGTAAATAACAAAGCGCTGACACGATGTTTGCAGAAATCAAGCTGTTCTACAACATGTTTTGCGACGATTTTTGTCGGTGTTGTGGCCGGTATTTGTTGCATAACTCGCAATACAGCCATTAAAGCATTGGCTCGTATTTCCGAATACGTAAAATTTAATAATATTTGGATAATTTTTAGTGCAACAAAATCTGCTTTAAACGCATACGAAGGAAAACTAGAGGAACAAGTAAGTTTTAAGAGAGTTGATTCGTTTTTGTGGCCGAATACCATCCCGATTTCGCGAATTTCAGCAACATAACCGATCAAGCTTTCGCTTTCACAAAAATATAAGCTGTCTTCGTAGAAGTGACGGTACGTACTAAGTAATATTTAAGTGTATGGTGTTTAAGCAAATATCAAATAGCAAAATAGCAAAATAAATAATAGCAAAATATCGTTAAACTTCAAGTACACAAATTTTAATAAAAGTGAACAAACGCAATCAGATAGCGTATATTCATCTAACCGCGAGGCGAGAAACTTGCACCGCTGGGCACTAGACATCAAGTCAGGTATATCTCGAAGGAAATTGAGTTATGTAATGGATGAAGTAGGTAATTATATTTACCATTTATAAAAGCCTCGCGGACAGTCGTTTTCTTATTTTTCAACGGGTATTATGTAATGGAAATAGTCCATCCGCACTTCTGGCAACGGACCAACAAAGGACTGTTTTACAACAAAAACATAATTTTCTTAATTCAGTACGCCTGCTTGACGGTTTAGATACAGATTCCATTCTGGTAGATAAAACAATGACCGGGTCGAATTCCAGAAAATTTTATTTTTATTGTACAAAGAATAAAAGATTGAACTTTTCATCTTCGCTCTTTTTTTTTCGATGATTAACTTGTAAAATTTAAGGATGTAAGTTTGTATTCTCAGTATTTACAGATACATACTCTGCTGAATCAATCATGGAAAGACACAAAGTGTACCGTTAACGTCGTCCACTCAGCCAACTGTGTTTACTGTGTAACCGTGTACGGTACCCAGCAACAAACGCTCAATACAGCTGTAACGCTGCAAAAAAACAAGCGGAAAATACACCCGCAAGGCTTAACAATGGCTGTTTATTCGTAGAAAGTTGTTTTCACGAGCCGCGCTGCGAGTCAACATGTTTTCGAGAAGCAATGCGACTGTTTATACAAAAGTTAATTTTTTAACCGCTTGCCGGAGTTGACACTCGTTGGTTATTTTTGCAAAAGAAACGCAAACTTTCCTTACCTTTGAAGATGACTAACAAGGCAACATCGCTGTGTGTTGTACTCTTCCTTTTAAGCCAATGCGCCCATTTCTCTGGTATGGACTATGTACTCTTACTAGATAAGCCGCTATTCAAACCATAAATTCTTGTTTAAAAATGATATTATGTGTTTTCTCTTGGCTAGTCCAAGATGGAATATCGGCCAACTGCGTTTGTCCGGTAGCGTCGTGTGCGCCATGCCCTCTTAACACTTTCGACGCAGCTCGTAAGCGACTCTTATAAACTTTAACTGCTGAAAATAGTTGTAAAATGCTTGCACTGCTCTAGGTGCCCGCAGCCAAGTTGTGCAGATTAGCGATAAATGCCCACCGTGCCCACCTCCACAGTGTCCGTCGTGCGATCCGCAGCCGTCCAGTATCTGTACACAAGTCATGTGCGCTCCGAATTGCACACCGGGTAAGCACAATCTATTCTTCTAATAAAAAAACCAGCGAAACTAAATCACTCCACTACATCCTTCTGCAGCCGGGTGGAGAATGCTGTTGCTACCCGACAGTATTTGGTATTTGGCCGCACTGCAGTTCGGCACCAGCTTTTTTTGGTATTTAGATCGGACGATGGCCGCCGATCTAAGTACGAGGAGGCTGTTTAACAGCACAATGTTTTAACCTATTTTGTTGTTTCCATTTTCAACAAGCTAGTTTCTTGCGGTAAACTAAAAGAAGCACTGCAATATGAAAGTTAGAGGAAATTTTATACCACGCTGTCGGCAAGGCATGCGTACAGTGCTTTTTCCGGAAATATTATAATTAGGTACAGACACTACGGTACTGAGCCATGGTAATCTCGATGTTTCAAGTTACCAGATTCTGCATGTCCGCGCGTACTCAGTATAAGCGCATCCATTGTAAGTTTTTTCATGCTTTCACGGTGTCTGGTTGTTACAAAGAGGCTCGTGCCGCCTTCGTAGATCAATAGAGTAAGAAGGTACTGTATATTAATTTTGAGAATTTATGTTTTGTGTGTCGGCAGCCAACCCGATCAATCCAATCAGCACCAGCCAGTGCTGCATTTGCGGCCCTATTTCTGCGGGATAGCAGCGAACGAGAATTTTTGCTTTGGCAAGCAAAGGACAGAGAAGACCATCGCGAAACGGCTCTGCAAACACGACAGCAGGCTAATGGAACTTTTTTAATTAGTTCTCCTGGTTCAAAATCAATTTAATATGCTGTATTTTTGTGTGTGTACTCAGTGTACTCAGTTGTTATCGATGGATGTCCTCGCTACATGTTTGGAGATACTGTACACAATTACGACTTAAGCTGTATTATCGAATACTCGAGCTGTGCATGCGCGATGAGTATACGAATTAAACAAAGTCTTCGTAAAAAGCGCGAAAACTGGAAGATTTCCAACGGAAGCCAGGATAGGGACCCACAGCCGGTTGGATCGGTAGGTTGTTAATCATGAAATGATTTATCCATGTCCTTTACCGGAGGCAGCCAACGAGTGCCGGAAACGTCCAGCCGGTGGACAAGCGCCTTTTCATCTCTTCTCTCGCGTTCGTCAAACTGCGCACCTAAAATATTAGGATGACTTTAATGAAATCATCATGAACATAACGAAAAATTCGCACGGATTGGTCATCGCTCGTAAACGTTCAGGTGTGTTGCATGACGCTCTAAGGAATCCCATAGAACTCTAAGAAGCCATAATGGCTGTCTGCAAGCTGTCTAAAGGTAAGTACCGTGACTACAAAAAGAAAAAAAGCAATCCATTTTCCAATTCAGTGGGAAATATGTCACAGTTGGACTTGGAAGCGCAACGAGTCTTTTCGACAACTCTATGGCGAAATTTGTGAGTATGAGTGCATTCCGTCAGGTATAGCCCTGTATTAATGCAAAAATCTCATTTCATCTGATTACATGCCGAATTCTATGGAAACCTATGGAATGTGTTCTATGGAACCTATATAGTATGGAACGTATCCTATAGACCTATGGAATTCTATTCTATGGCAAGTTTTATTCATATAAGAGGCTCCAAATTCAGACAAATCTAATTTTTTTGTTGCAATACAGTATACTTGTGCAATATGCTTAAAAAAATGAAATATTATGCTGCTAAGATCAACGTATCACCAAACGAAAATACAGTGTTAATGTCCTCCGTGTGGTGGTGGTGGTGGTGGTGTTGATTCGCTTCCGTCAAATATGTCTTTTGTTTTCGATGTTTAACTTTCTGCCGGCTAATTTGTTAAGGAGATAATACAGCGACATATAAATATGTATATGCAGGGTAAAATAACTGCACAACGTAACTGGAAACAAGTGTTTCGTACCAGTATACGGAAATCTACATTCGCGCAGTTTTTTCGGGAGTGCTGATTTTCGGCGAATACCCTATTGATAATCAAGTATTTAAAAACATTCGCGCACAATACTTTACCGAATTCTATTTTGGGCGAATATTTTACGTGGTCTATATCCTATGTACCCAAAATTTGTATATCCTATGTACCCAATCTTAGAAATCTAACCAGTAAGCATTCTAGATTTTCTTATATATCTTAGAGATCAAGGAATATTCGATCACGCCGAACTGACCGAAGGCTTGACTGCGAGTAATTTTAGGATATTTTTCTTAACTATCAATATTTTCATTGATCGATGCCGAATGCCGCGGGCTGTCTTAATTTTTCCGATCGGACAAAGCATTCTTCTATATAAGTCTATGGAGGCCCATGGCAGCAATTTTGTTTTTTTGCCCCTGTTTTTCCTTAGAGGTGCAGCACAGCGGGAATACTGTATAAACATCCGCGTCGTTGCGACGATTTTAACACAATTTAATGTTAATCTTCCTAACTGCACGCAACGAGGTCCGGAAGTGTGTGGGCTATCTGAGCGGAGGCTGAAGGGGCACCCGGCAGGTGTCGTGCTCGGCCTGCACGTGCGTGCGCAGCGATCGACCCGTCCTGCCTGCGCCCTTCTACACCTTGGCCCTTTATTTCGAGATACAATCGAGAACAGCAAGAAAACAGAGGTGTGGCGGGCGGGGAAAACATCGAAATGCCGGTAAAATGCAAAACTGAAAATGAACAGATCGGTGCTGCTGAAAACACCTTATATAGGGAGACATGCACAGCCGGACAGTGGGCGTAACTGAGAAGACGCAACAGGGACGTTAGTCCAATGAACATTAATAGAATTTAACATGTTAAATTATCATTAATGTTAATCTTCCTAACTGCACGCAACGAGGTCCGGAAGTGTGTGGGCTATCTGAGCGGAGGCTGAAGGGGCACCCGGCAGGTGTCGTGCTCGGCCTGCACGTGCGTGCGCAGCGATCGACCCGTCCTGCCTGCGCCCTTCTACACCTTGGCCCAAACACCCAAATCAAAGAGGGTAGGCCTGGATGCCGCGGATGGGTACCGTGTTTCGTACGTAACGGGTGTAGCAGTTACTTCGCCATCGCCCCGCTTCCTGTAAGCGCTGATGGGAAGTGCCATTTGCCGCTGCGGCGCTTGAGCCGCCGATGCGGAAGCTGTGGGTGCCGTATCTGTCGATGTCGGGAACTCCCGCTAGACCGGTCTTCATGGCTCTTTCGAAGGAGTGTCGGGTGACGTAACTGCCGCTCGGTAGAATGTAGAACGGGTCATTTTTGCCGGTGGTAATTCGGACGTCCATGTAGGCTTTTGTGGAGCGCACTGGGCAAACTGAGCGGCCGGTGGCGGACAGGGTGATGCGGTAGCCATGGTGGAATTGGTCCGTTTTTGAGCTGCGAATGGTGATGATTAGAGCATTTTCGTGAAGGATAACGTCGCTGAAGCGGAGAGTGGAGGCTGGGCAACACTTCCCGGTCTCGTTCGCTACCAGCTCGCTGACGCGGAAAAGGCCAAAGAAGGCAACGCAGAATGCACTCCAGTAGAGGAGCTGTTCCTGTTGCGGAAGATGCGAGTTGTGTAGTTTGTCTTTCATGGAGCGCATCAGATCCAGCGTTATTGGCAACCGCCGATCTGTACCTGGCATGTTGAGCCGCTTCAAGCCATTGACCGCCCGCGTGATGGCTGCGGTTGCTGAAGGGCGACTGATGCCTACCTCGGAGTGCGCATTGTCGATTCCGGCAAGGTAGACGATGGTGGTGGATGTTCCCAGGCCGTCGAGGTGGAGTTGCGCAATAAAGCGGAGAATAGTCTGCTCTGTCGCTGGTATAGGAGGCTCGCCGATGGTTTTGCAAAATTGCGCAAAGCGGCTCCATCCGGTTTGGTAGGTCTTCCTGGTAGAGGCAGCGATGTGGTGAAACTGGACTGATGCGATGGTAGCGTCCAGGGCTGCCGTTAGCTGTAGCTTAGTCGCAGGCTTTCCCACATGTCCGGTAAGGGATCCGGTAATGTTGCGGCGCCCGGTGCAAGGCGGCGGAACCGGCTGACAGAATATCCCTGGTGCAGACCGGCAGCCGAATGGAAGGACTACGTCGTGGAAGTACTGTCCATCCAGTTGGAATCCAAGTAGGTGCCACTGGTCGCGTCTCACTGGGATTAGTCGGAAAGCGTTCTTGATATCCAGTTTTGCCATGACTGCGGCGCTTCCGTTGCGTAGAATCAATTTGATCGCGTCGTCGACCGAGCAGAACTTGAGTGGTGGGGAATCTTTGGTGATGTAGTCATTTATGCTGTCGCCGGTTGGTCGTGATAAGTCGGAGATGATTCGATGGCCGCCGCTTTTCTTGGGCCGCACTGACTGAGAGTTTGTTGTGAACGGGATAAAGGGCACAGTTAAGAATGGCCCGCGCGTGTGACCTGCTGCCACCTCTTTGGCAACCGCGGCGCGTAGGATATCGGCATGAGAGGAAGCGGAAATTGCATTAGGTGTGAATCGCGACTTGTCTGGACCACGATACCCGATGTCGGCACCGTTAGTGAGGATGTCCAGAATAAGGTTAGCAATATTAGGGAATGGATAGTTAGTAAGGTGCCGCCGCCACGCTGAGAAGTTAAGCGGAGTGATCCGGCTTGCCGCGAATGGCGCCCCCGGATATGTCTGCTCCACCATGGCTGTGATGGTTGTGGTAGCCGTGGCCATTTGAGCCGCAGATGGAGCAGGAGTGCTGCCGACCGGATGGGCATGGATTGCGGCAGCGTCCGTAGTTGAAATTACGGCAGATTTCCCCGTCTGCGGCGGTGCCGGCTCGAAAAAGCGGCTTAGGCGACGGACAGTCTCTGGCTAGGTGACCCGTGGCAAAACAGTTCCTGCATTGTGCGCGCTGATGTTTTGGGTTGCCGGTAAAGGTCACGCCCGTGGATGTGGAGGGAGTCCTGGGATTTGCTATGCATTCCTGGAAGGATTCTTCGTGTCGTCGCGTCCACACCTCGGTGTCCTCCGGGTTGTTGGCAGCATTGTTGCGAAACTGAATGTCGTATTCCAGCACGTGCTCCAATTTGTAGCCCCGTAGTGGATCCATAAGCAGCGCAATGTGGTCCAAATATCGTAAGAGTGGCTGGATGAGTTCCGGGTGGTCGATTATGCGATAACCCATGAAGACGGAGAACGCCCTCGTCCAGCTGGAGACCGACGTTATCTGCTCTTTCTTCGGGCCTGATACGAACGCAATCTCGCCGGTTTCGTCCTGGATCATGCGGGTGCCGGTATTTGACCTTTTTGCAGGTGCGCGATTATGTGGCAGAAGGTCGACAAAGTCCACAAACTGCGTGTGGTCAAGGAGTTGCTCCCGCACCTTCGGACTCACTGCCGGCAGTCCGTGGACTGCGCGGTGCAGCTGTTCGGTGGAGCTCCCAGTCGTTTAAACACGGATACTTTTGGCGGTATAACAGATTCGGTGATCACACTTTCAGCTCGCTTACCGGTATCGGTTGTGATGTGGTTGGACGCCGGGGAGAGTGAGCGTTTGGAGGAAGAGCTGTCGACCTGCAGCGCCGGCTGGCGGGAGCCATGCTGCCCAGTGGATTTCAGCTCGGTAACTTCGCGTTTCAGGTCCGCAATTTGTGCCATTAGCTGTTCCATGACGCTGGTTGTTTGGATGGAGGATTCCGGTGGCACGACAACTCGGGAATTCACTCGTTTGCTGGGTCGCGGAGGCGAAATATCCCGAGTTCTTTTACCGGTATTACCGGAAAACATCGAAATGCCGGTAAAATGCAAAACTGAAAATGAACAGATCGGTGCTGCTGAAAACACCTTATATAGGGAGACATGCACAGCCGGACAGTGGGCGTAACTGAGAAGACGCAACAGGGACGTTAGTCCAATGAACATTAATAGAATTTAACATGTTAAATTATCATTACCGCGTCAAAATCGGTCCACCCGTTCGCCCAAACATCGCGTTGGTCAGTAGTTCCTGTCATAACTGTTTTGAATGTAGATA